AGTGGCACAGAGGGTCCTCCAATTCATGCAACTGCAAACATTCTACAAATGTTTTTGTCCAGCGGTATGCTGTGAAATCAAACAAATGAACACCAAGTTGCCATTCTCATTACTTCTGCAACCAGCATATTTGTGGGGATTTGTAGGTGGGAAGAGACAAAGTTGAAATAAACCTTCCAGGGTGCTCCAAGGGACAAAGCACATACCATACTTGCTTTTTTCTGGGCTTCTGATCCAATTCTGAACTAAGCATTTTTTGAGCGATTTAGGAAAATAGCTCCTGGTCACTCAGACATGAAAATCTGTTCATGATTACAAGTTTAATAACAGCATAATACTCCAATCAACCCGTGTAGGAGAAGAGATTTTCGGAATACATTCACATTTTTATTTTGCAGTTAATTTTCTGACTGTAGGCCCTATACGTTTTGGGATACACCCTGTATATTAAAAGTATATATTAAATATCCCCCCCCCCCAAAAAAAAAAACAACGAGAGGAACTCGGAAGAGAGCGAAGCCTACGGGCCTGGATGTTGACCCTGAGTTTCAGCTTTTTTGTACACCTGGCCTGTACAAAAGTATGGCCGGGAACCTTTTACGTTTCAGCTTTTTGCTAGCTTAATTTTAAGCTTTTGCTAAATTTTAAGTGGCCACTCGCACCCTTGATCTTTGCAATGTTTACTTGTACGGCGAGAGTTTAATTTGCGTCATCGGGAAGATCCGTTTTGATCAAGATGTCTTTCATGTCTTCCTCCAGACTCAGTAGTTTCTTCTGCGTGACGTTAACTTATGCGGCGAGAGAAGAACATTCTGTATAGCTTTAGTATTAAGCCTCGTCCATGGGGGCGCTGATCATTGTTTTTCAATCGTATTTCATTACTTGGAGAAGATTGGTCCCCGAGGGTACTCAAAATTGGAGCCAGTAGAGGTCCAAGAAACCCTTATTTTTGAACAAGTATAGCTGTTTACGTTTTGCGTGAGAAGAGTATCTTCAACCACAGCTCGTAAATGTATTTTGCGTCGCGACAGTTTTTTCTTCTGACTCTGCGTTAGGGGCACAGTCACGATCATTTAAAACGTTCAGGGCACATAGTTCTTTGCCAGCATTCTTCAAAATATCTGTCAAAATGTGCAGCGTGTGAGCATTGTCATTCAACTGTCGCGTCATGTTGGCAAATGAAGCCGTTTACGCAAAAGCGGTCTATATTTATGGACGTAGCTCCTTCACTTATTTGGATCGAAGGCCATGTTCTTCCGGGCAGTTCGGTTTTGAGTCGTTGCAAAGATAGGAGCCTCAGCGTAGGTTTCGACCACAAAACTTTTCATTCACAAGCTTCCGGGGGCATACACTGCGCATACAGTGTTAAAATACACGTTGGGCTGGGCAAAAAATATCTTACACCCCCCCCGCGCAAAGCCATCCTTGTTCGCAGTACCTGTTGTTACATCTGATACGGACCAGTCAGCTGGAACTAGCAAGCTCGGTGGTCGAGTGGTAAAGACGTCTGCACTATAGCGAGCAGGAGGTCGTGGGTTCGAGTCATACCCGAGTACGCGTGTGGTTTTTTAACAAGCCCTCGGGGGGCATACACCGAGCATACAGTGTTAAAAATACACATTGGGCGGGGCAAAAATCCAAAAGAATAATGTTTCTGACAGCACATTGGCATCTGGCTGCCAGAAAAACAACGTGGTACGTAGAGTCCAACGACTTCCCTTGCAGCCATGATCTGTATAGGATGAATGTTATCCAACGGGACTTTCAGATGGGCCGTGCTTCCACATGAATATGACGTATTGCATCTTGCAATCTTCTGCTTCACTTCATCTTGACGATGGAAGCATCGATGCCTTTGATTTTGTTCTAAGGGCTATCAGTTTGTATTTGTTGAAGAATATTTTCAATCTGGCCTCATTCACAAATGATGATCTTTGGCCGTAGAGCGCGCAGACGTATTAATTTTCTCCATCAGGCCGTCATTGTCTTCAAAGCGGATACATGTAAGATGCCCAAGGCCCTTAAGGTGAAGAGGTCACTTTTCTGCCGATGTTAGTGGTCTTGCTTTCCCCTTTATCAAGAAGGACGATGTATAGTCACTTCCAGTTAAGGCGTGGTATCCAGGCAACGCCTTGCAGAGGATCGGACCAATATGTCTTGCTAGCCGCGAAGTGACGTTGACATATCATCTAGTGTTATCAATTACATGTCCCAATTCAATCCACACACCGGAGGCAAGTTGTGTGGTATGATACAGGAGGATGGTCATAACATCAGCATTCGTGGCTCAGACAACATTCTGGCTTGGAACTGCTTTCGACAGCATACTTAGATGATACATCAGGCATGTACCGGCTTCCACGTGTGAACATACAAATTCTGACATCTCCCTAACTATGCACTACAGTGATACAGGAGCTGAGTACTGCAAACACTGCTCTTCATGTGCAAGAACAATCTCCTCTTGGCGTATCTGAGTAGCGTACTTGTCATCTTTCCATTCATCTACGAAGAATCAGTGCTACCTTTGTCACATGAATCTAATCAAAATTGGAATTTTGAGACATTGATCTAGGCCCTCAACAAGATACACAAATATTAGCAGACATTACCAGCATCAAAAAGTAGACCATTCCTGAGGCATCAGTAAGGTGTTGATACTTACTAAATTTACTTCTACCCAAGGGCCCTCGCAATCTTGAACCACTGCCATCTGCTGCTATACTAGCTAAATCTGTACCAACCTTCCACGAAGCCACTCTACTCTAAATATTTCAGCCAATTTTTCTTTCAGTCACGCACGGAGCTCTGGAAGTGCCATCCGACTTGCTGAGATCCTGACATTTTTTCCGGGGTTAACGACCTAATAAACGCAAGATGTTGACACCCTGAGATAATTTATCAAAAGATGACGATATCATAAAAGTGGGATAATGACATCCTGAGATAATTTATCATAGGATGATGACATCGTAAAAGTTGGACGATTTCATCCTCAGATAATGACGATAATCATTAGCTCAGGATGTCATCATCCAGAGACATCCACCAAGTGTGATTTCAACTTCATTACTTGTAACAGACGGTGAAACATCATGGCGTTTTATGAGTCTTATTAACATCATGTATGGCCAGTGCATTGAAAAACACGAGCATCTCAGACCGCCTGTTTTCAAGGTAGTTTGTCATGACACCCATTGACAAATAATGTCATCATATCACTTTTACGATTTCGTCATCCCATAATAAAGTAACACAGGATGTGGTCATCCAACTTTTAGGATGTCGTCATCCAATGATTTATTATCTCGGGATGTCGCCATTTTCATTCCAGGATGTCTTCGTCCTGCGTTAAAACATCTCATGGTATCGTCATATTGCCCGTAATATGTCGTCATGCTGAGATAAAATATGTCAGGATCTCGACAAGTCGGGTGGCACTTCCAGAGCTCCGTAGTCACGTCCCAAATACGCTTCCGTACGTTAGTCTATCAAGGGTCCAGTCCACTGATTCAAGCCCCATTGAAAACAGTGTAAAATCAGCACCGTTCAGGGCCCAATAGCATGCACNAACCAATTACATTTTTAATTATTCCCACAAAACAAAATTACCCCCTAAAAATTGATTTTTCCGAAGTCCGATTGCAGCCATTTTCCAAGTGGCAACCCTCAACTTTCTCGGGCACATAGGACCATTTTTCAACCGTAGTTTTTAGCCCTTCTGCTCTCACATGAAAGCTCAAAGACCCAGGGAGTTGATCCTGGCGACGATTTACACAATCTCACCATTTTGGGGGCCAAACAATCTCTTTTTTCAAAAGATACTGTGGGTGGGGGCACTTTTCATGCTAATGAGCTGGTCAGAAATTCTCACTTGAATTAGTGGTCTGCACCCATCATGCCTGTCCGCATCATGTCAGTACTCGCACGCAAGCTGCTCAAATGTGTCAACACATCTGCTACTGCATGGGTGCAGTTCACCAATTCAAGCCCAAGTGAAAAACTTGAAAATACCCTTTGAGGATTTAAAAAGTAGTTTCATCTAATTTAAAGACTCTAAGACCTGCCACCAGGTAAAAGAAACCCTGAATTCGCTTCCAGATTCGCGCAGAAAAATGAAACTTTTTCGCGATGTATAGAGGCCACATCTTTCTTTACTCTACTGTCCACGCGAAAACAAGATGGCGGCCGGTCAGGCTGTACGAAAAGGCCGGATTCTGTCACTTAAATCTCCACTTTAAAATATCATTTTTGATAATATGATTCGTTGAATATGATATGTAGGAATTATTGTCAATATAAAATATTTGTATAAAAATGCTTGAGTATTTAGTTGACGCTTTGCTGACGCTCAATGATGCTTGTTGACGCTAAATAGCATGACCCGTGGAACCCCTTCCCCAAAACACTCCAAGCAACTCTATTCAACAACCTACAACCTCCTGGTCATGGAAATTTGTTGCAGTAATTCTCTCCCTAACTCGAGCCAGTTGACCTGTTTCCATTTCATCTTTTTAGTTTTCTTTTCTTACTTGCATTGGCGCATATTCATAGTGATTCTCCGTGCCACGCCCGTCATGGAGCCATGAGTCGTTGGAGCAGTCATCATCAAGTGATGGATCGAGCCAAGAATCAACAGAGCCGTCACTGTCATACATTGCTTAACTTGAAATCAGGATAACATCAAGATCAAATACTGTTGATTTGGTGATTTGTAACCAATACAAAATTGATCACTTTGGAAGGCATCTGAACGCTGTAAAACATCTACAGCTACTGCGTTCTGGAAATTGCCTGCATGAAGGGGAACTACTCAAAGCGGTTCGTTTGATATACATGTACAGTGGCGTACATGCACACCATTTAGAGGCATTCAGGCATTCATTGATGCCCAGGGTGGTCAGCACTCCATTCCTTCAGTAATTGTTTGTCAATTAAAGTTCACTCGACCGAGATTGGTACCATATGATGCACTCTGCATTTCTGAAGAGGAAGTACTCTCTGTCTCTTCAACGCATGGTCCGTACTTATTTCGATTTGTGCGAAGGAGTTCCACTTCGAAGTGAAGTTTCTTGTGCATTTAAATGATGAAGAACGGTAAGTTTAATTATTATGATCTTTACAGTGTTTTCAAGTGTCTTCAAATGAGTGAATTTTATTAATTAAAATAATTTATTAATTTGCATAAAATAAAGACCGTATTTTTTGGAAATTGTCCCTTTTTCTATTTACGCGAAGTTAATACATCTCATATTTGCATGTATTGATAATAAGTCATTATTAACTCAACTTTACGCAGTGCGTTCATTGCCCATACAGATGAGTGTCCGTATGTTCGTATCATATTATCGAAAATTATATTTGAAGGAGGAAATTTGACCGGCCGACATCTTGTTTTTGCGTGGACGGTACACGGACGTGTATAATAAAAATCTGGACTGGCAATGCCCTTAATCAGCTCATAGAGATCACTGAATCCACTCGCGGCCATTTTACCGAGCCAAATACAAAACTTTCCTGGCAGTGCCCGCCTTTGTTCTTCCTGACGTCAATAGCAGCGAGCCAACCCACGCATTTGTATTTGGCTCGGTAAAATGGCCGCTGGTTGGCTTCTTTTTTATACAAAGGCGTTGCGAGTCCAGGTTTTTTATACGTCCGTGGAACGGTAGCGTAAAGAAAGATGGCGGCCGCCATACTTCGCGAAAAAGTTTTGTTTTTCTGCGTGAATCTGGAAGCGAATTCGGTGTTTCTTTTACACAGTGGCAGGTCTTAGAGTCTCCGAATCAAGGTAAAACTACTTATACTGGCCTCAGAGTGTGCACTGACCGCGCTGGCTCCTGTCCAGCAGCTAACCCCGAAATTTAAGCAATAGTAGATCACAGAGTTTAGTTCGAAGAATGTCTTTATTCATGAACTTCCATGAACTGGTACTATGTGCCTTGAAGTTTGTGGGTAAAACTGTTAAGACAAAAGATTACAAACATAAGGTCAGTCTTCCATATTTGTGAAAGACATTGTGAAAACCAACCCCAATAATCGTACAAAACTTCTTGACTATGTCAACACACAATTAAACAACCCTAAATCAAACTGTCACCAGTTTCCTCTTCACATGCCAAAAACAAACTTGTGAAATGACTCTGTCAAAGGGAAATAACAATGTTGTGTACATCTAGATATATACCATTACAATAATCCACTGTAAAGTCCCAAGATTGATTTGTATACACTACACATTACCTCCAAAGTGATAAAGGGATCGTATGGTGTGCATTCAGTCGCCCACATGTACATGAAAATAATATCAATAAACCTACAGACTTGTGGGCTTCCGGGCTGTTCTTCTGACACAATCGGAATCTCATGTAAAAAACTGTCACAGATGTTCTTAAAAGGGCTCACACCGGGCTCACCCAGCACAATGTCTCTGTAACGGATGACAGTCGTAATGGCAGCTATAAGTTTCAAAATACGTGAATCCTACTTTGGATTTATGGTACATGTAAACTAATGTGTACATGTAGATTGACATAAACTTATAAATTACTAAACTGAGACGGACAAAATAAACCCCCAAACCACTATGAAATGAAACCTTCATAATCAAGTTAACAACACAATAATGGAGCTTAACTTACATAAAAAATATATGGATGCTTAACCCTCAGGTTATAGATTCTAAAAGCACTATAATTTTAGCCCTCTTAGAAACAAAGTTGGAGACCGTGAACACAAAAACTGTCCATACATGTCAAACAGTTAAACTAAGCAACGTACCACGCATACCTAACGCGCGCTGCCACATAGATATGGCGCGCCTGGGATAGCACCTAACTATGGAGTGCAAAAACATGCAAAATTAAAGCTTGGGTACAGCACCCTACTTCTAAATCCTAAGAGGGTATTTTCAAGTTGTTGACGCTAGTTGTATGCGTTGACGCTTGTTGACGCTAAATAGCATGACCAATCTTTGACTAACCATTAAAAAAAAAATATTAAATGTCTCATTTTTCCTCTTACGTTTTATCAGGGAAACGCCAAAAGATCCACTTTGACAGTGATGATGAGGATACTCCGCTGTTGGCCATCGCGGGACGTCAGCAAGATGTTCATCAACCGAACATGAGGACCGACCCCCTGGAATCTCGATTCGAGGCACAAAAGCAGGCTTTGATTGAAGCAAGAAAACAGATTCAAGAACAAGCCAAGGAAATCAGTGATCTGCACCAGCAACTGGCGGCTCAAACTGAACAGATGCAGGATGAGATCCGAAAGCAGGGCGAGGCGCAATACCAACAGCTCTCTGAGGAGCAGCGCCAGGCTGAGGTGCAGCAGAAACACAGTGCCGACCTAGCCGAAATGCTTCAAGCTGTCAAGAATATAGCGGCTGTATCAACGAACACGTTTGGTCTCGTGAAGTCACGGGTTGACAGGAAACATCAGATGGGGGGTTCAACAAGCAACAGCGAAAACGTAGCTCCACCGGCGCCTTCTCACCTGCCGGCCCCTTCTGCTCCAAGTACATCTCTTGAAATTTCCGATGGGAAAATCGTCATTCCCATTCGCTACGAAAACTTCAACCCCGGAACAGTCTACGAGCCGGTAACAGACGACGCAGAAGAGTACGGTATCCTTCGTTTGAGATCCGGTGAAAAAAGGTGACAACTTTCGTACGGGGACTCCTGCCATACTTCTTTGAGTCTGATGTCTTGAAGCGATCAAATTATGAAAGCAGCAAAGTCATGACAAAGGATAGGCAAGTAAAGAAGGATCGTCTGGACAGACAGAAGGTGATGGCCATTCTGGATCAGGCCGAACTGGAAAACCCTGGTCAAACGCGAGGCAAGATGGCCTTTGCTAAAATCAGAGCTGTCATTAATGATAAGTGCCGCCATAGTTAAGACCTAGTTCACTTTTAGCGATCCTTCAAAAAAAACAAAACCAAACCCCTCCAACATCATACTTATCCTATCGTGAATTTAGGGGAAAAAACTTGCGTGTGGACCTTTTCTGTCACTGTTTAATATCAGGTAATATTTTTCAAGATGCAAACCCTGTTTTCTCTCCAAAAGGCCTTCCAGGCATTAATAACGAAGGAGCAACTGTATTCTCTTAATTTCTCATTTGTATTTTGTTTCGGAAAACTAAACAACGTGAAATTTCATGTATGTAGGAAATAGAATCAAGTGTAATCGGAATTCAATCCCTATTCGAACTCGTTTGTCCATATTTTCCCGTTAATTCATATAGCATTATCATTAATGAAGGACATCTTCGATCCGGTAACTATTCGTCTCGCTGTGTTTTCAGTAAACTATCTTCCGTCACTATTCTATGTCAGTGAATTTTGTATAAACGTCTTGCATAGATTGTTTCAAAGAAATGCACATATGTATAAAACGACATACATGTCAAAAGAAGCCCCTGCATTAATAACATTAGTATCAGTAGGTCAGGGAAATATAAATGTATACCAGTCTTTGGGGTTTTAAAATGTATTGCAGATGAGGTAAAGTGAAAACAATATTAAAGAAATGCTTGTTGATTCATGTTTCAGCATTTGGTATTTGTGACTTTGTTTTTTTTAAATTGAAAACATTATAAGTGCCGTAAATATATGTTGAACTTTGTCTCGTGACATTTTTGCCGAGATCTTTCTGTTATAAGAGCAACACTTTTTAGAAGAACTCCCGTTACTCCAACAAAGACAACCAAAACTGTATCATCCTCGCATGTCCAATTTAAGTTCTAAAAATGCAGCCCCAAAAATAGGCATTCAGTGAAAGGCAGAGATTTATACTTATAAATATACTTATGTATACTTATATACCTTAAGAACACATCAGCCAGAAAAAAAGCGGCTTGAGCTGGCCAGGCTAGTGTACCTTAATCCTTCTTAAACACACCTCAACAATGCAGCACTTCCACTGGCCAGGTTCTTTGTTCTGAGACTCGCCTCTGGTTATTAAACGAGTAATCCCCATTCAATCTCGCAACCTTTGGCAAGCCGCCTAGTCTCTTAATGAATTCCAAGCTCCACAGTTGACCTCATAAATATTCAGTTATTCAAGCCTGTTGACTTTCCATTCATCAGCCAGCTTTCGAAAACTAGTGCGGTGCCGCAAATAAAAACCAAAAAACAGCGGTACCGCAGTAAATACCGCCTTCAACAACCATGAAACGTTCCCTAATCAGCATTGTTCAGGGCCCAAAATCATGCATTTCAACATCCCGGAGGTTTCTGAAACACATATTAAATTATTGTCTGATGACCGATCTTTCAATTTTTTTGTGGGTTAACCAATTACATTTTTAATTATTCCAACAAAACAAAATCTGCCCCGAGAGGGATTTTTTCGAAGTCTGCTTGCAGTCATTTTTCAAGTGGTAACCCTCAACTTTTCGGGCACTTTAATAGGGTCAGTTTCGACCGTATGTTTTAGCCATTCTCCTTTTATGGGAGACCAAAGAACGAAGGTGTTAATCCTGTTAAAGATTTACACAATCTCACCACTGTGGGGGCGAAACAAGTTCCCCTTTCTAAAGATACTGTGGGGGCACTTTTAATGCTAATGAGCTGGCCAGAAATTCTCACTTGAACTAGTGGAGTGCATCCTGCTACGGGAAATCCCCCTTCACTCAGCTTTCAGTTTGTGTGTCACGTTCGAAGGGTAATCCCGGACTTGTTAAGCGATATTGCGTAATCACGCTCTGTTAGAGGGATCCCGTGACTCATCAGTTTCCTGTAAATAAGGCAAAGAAATACTGTTTAATGGGAGTTGAGTTTCACCATCAGCCCAAAAGGGCCTCTGCTTTCAGACGATGGGCTCTTGTATTACCAGTCTGTGCTGGATGTTGGGAGCAACATTGCCTAGTAACAGCTAGGTTGATGACAGCGGTTGGCACTTACACTCAGCAAGAATAATTTGAAGTTGTTACAACGTAATGTAAGTATGATTGCTATGAATCAATTTAAAAACGAGAAGTGTGTTTCACAACAGACGTTGACTGAGCAGTTCAGCTATGGGCAGAGGGCCGTTATCAAACTGCTCCACGGCTAGACCGTAGAGGAAGAGAAATTCTGCCACGGTTATGACCATTTAACATACCAAGATCACGTAGGAGACACGTTGCCCTTTCCCACTTTTTAATTAAATGAAAGCACCAGTATTTTAAAATGGTACTAGGCCTATATGAATCACTACATACTACATGTATTTTTTGGGAGGAGGGATGAAGATTCTTTTGTGAGTGAAAATTGGAATGAATTGGAATTGGAAAATTGTGTTAAGAATAAAATCCTATTCCTCCACACCTAAGACATAAAGTGGTGTGATTTGCGTCGGAAATTACCGAAACGGGCCGAGGCTATATAAAATAGCATCGCAACTGAACATCAAGGAGTGCTGCGTGCAAAATTCTCTTCGCTTTCTCGGTATTCATCTTACAGTATGACCAGCCTTGATGGGAAAGACCCTCTTTACCTTTTTGGGCAATATTGGGGGTCACTGAGGTCCTCAGTTTTTCACACGGAATGCAGTGTTGCTCTTGTTTCGGAAAAGTGAAAATGTCAAAAGCTGGTGTATGTTTGATGAAGATATACGTAAAGTGAACCCGATTTAACGGAACTTGACAAGTTGAAATGATATAAAATTCCGAGAATGTTTGTGAATTTGTAATTCATCTCAGCCTTAGACTCTAGTTTCCTGATTTGAAGTTCTGCGTGTAGAGATTCTGGCTCAAAACCGGTTACTTTTTCTACGACAGGAGTGTCTCTTCCCTTGAAAAGCTGCGGTGTGGTTTCCAGGATTAATGGTTTCCAAGCCACAAAGATTTTGAAACTAGGCTGGCGAAGTAATCGCGACCTGAAGTGGAAGTGCACAAACCGAAGGCGTTTTTACCCGGAATAGAAAAAAAGGCTTGGTTGGTGAGGGCTAGCAGAAACAATTAATAAACGCTTATGTGGCCTCCTGATAGCAGTGATTATTTCATCAAAAGTTCACAGACAATTGAAAGCTTTCACATTGTGTGTAGAGGTCAAATGATATCTACTTCTGAGAAAGCGTAAACTATGATCGTAAAGTGAATTACTTGAAATGTCATGGTACAGTATTACTGCAGGTTGTTAATGTTGGTGGTCACTTTGAAAACATGCTAGAAACCCAAAAAAGAAAAAAAAATGCACAGGAAGGGAGCAACATTGTGTTACATGTGGGCAACGAGCAAAAGAAAAAAATATCTCATTAGGGCATATGCGTACAGGCACAGCTGGAAATACCCCAAAATCACTGATGCTATCAAAATATGGACGGGACGACTTCGGAAATATTTCGGCTGTACTAAAAAAAATTCCTCCGGTTTGGTCACGTGGACGTTGGGTGATACCCTCCTACGGATCTGGGGGGCACCCCCGGTGTGACATTATTTTTAAAGGGAAGACAGAGGGAAAGAGAGGGGACAGAGGGAAGAGAGAAGGGGATAGGCCCCTACAACATTAACAAAAAAGAAAGCTTCAAGCGCCGCGACGCGAATTTTTAGGACAACCGTACGGGCTATTCCAAACAGACAGCAGGCCACTTACACCGTCAGAAAGGTCGCATGTTGACCTCTGAAAATACCCTGTAGCTCGTGCTTAAACACAGATGCAGAACGTAGGCCTACATGTACATGCACAGTACATGTACATGCACATGTACATTTTGATACATTTGTACATGCACTGTATATAGGTTTCCATGTGTGTACGCGAACGCTATAGGGATAAGGACATAGACGCCTTTGTCTATGTTAAGCTGGCATCAATGCCTAGGCAGGAGGTTCAGTTTTAGTCCCACACCCAGAACATTCTTCGCCGTTCCCGATCCTTCTTCAGAAAATGAGATTACGATTGAAGCTGGCAAAGAGCGTATGAACCTCAGGCTCACATTTACATCTGTTCCGACTGCCCTCCACCTGGAATCCCAAACCCACCTTCAACGCGAATCTAGAATCTTACACTGAAGGTAATTTGGAGGAATTATAAAAAATGAAAAACCAAAAAGTGCAATCTAACATTACAAAACCAGAACACATCTTAAATAACAACGAAGACATTGTCATTAAACCATTCGATAAAGGCCGCGGTATCGTTTTGAAGAGACAAGACAACACACATGAGACGCTACAATTATCGGGCCCACATTATGACGAGATTGTTGGAGATTTGAATTGTGAAAATGCGCAACAGGTCTCTCACGCCATTTGCAAACTGTACAAGGATAGAATGTTAGGGCAGAAAATTGGCGTGGCAATGGGAAGCGAATTGCGAATGCAGTCCCGAAATATGTGACATAACTCTGTTCAAATATGAAAAACAAACAATCCTCCCTCGTTATCCTCCTATTGATAGTTACATGAGATATTGAGACGATATCTTCACAATTTTTTATGGTAGGCCTAGTAAAGATCAAGCCGGTGAACTCGTCAGCACTCTAAATCAAATTCACTTAAAGTTTAAATTCACGTTAGAGATTTCGAACAAAAAAGTTCACCCTCCTCGGTTTTGTCACAAAGGCGAACGATTCAAAATAAAAGGAGACCGGATACTCGAGTATAAGTTACAACAAAAAAGACATATTGTAGCATCTTGTTTGAGACTATTCCGCAGCCCACCCAGAGTAGTATTTGGCGGACTGTTTGTCGACAGGCAGCGAGATGTACCGGTAACAGCATATGCAAACACTCATTAAATTTTGAGATGGTTCAGTTCTTCAGGGACAAACTTCGAAAACATACAATCAAGAACATTTAGCCTTGCGTCTTCAAAAAGGTGAGACTCACGTGAAATGCCAACAAGCGTACTAAAACTAAGAAAGAGATCTCACTTGACTTGGTTCTGCCCAGCAACCCACAAGTAAGACATTCAGCGTCAAAACAGACCTTTTTCAAGACTGGGCATTGTGTACAAACGGCACAGGAATATAAAAGATGGCCTGGTACAGGTGAGGATTGATCGATCTACACCATCCAAACAAAAAGAAAAACATAAGCATTAGGAGAACATTCAAATTCCAATGGAACCTTTGGAGAACAAAATTAAAAAGGTGTCATGTGGCTAGATACGGAATTCGACACAGAACACAAAATTGGAATCCTCCTACTGTGATTATAGCTAAAAAAACCCAATAAACTCCATAAATATTTTTTACCATCATTAGCAGTAAATGCATAAGAAAGAACAAAATATGGTGACTGATGACGTGTGGAAAAAAGGCACAGAAGTGACCCTGTTGATGCTGATGACAGATCTCACTTCCCTTCCCTTTAATACACTCTAGTTTCACAGCAGCAACCTTCTTGGAATAATCCCAAAACCCCTTTTAAAAACAATATCAACCAATTAGTCTTTGAACTTTGCTTGCACAGACCGGTTCTTTTGCTTTTTCGTAACGGAAACACTTCATTTTAAGAGAATAACCTGGAGAATACTAAATTGGTGGTGACTATAGCTTCTCGTCACTCAACACGGGAGTGGGGACATGTATGATTACGCCCCTAGCTTCCCTATAAACGTTAAATGTTAGCGTTTCAAACACAAAGAACAAGAATGTGGCAAAAAATGGATGCCCTTCATCTGCAACACTCCTAACAACATCCAATTTTGGCTGTGCCCCTGCTTCAAAAAATCTGGGTTCCGCGTCCGATACCTGACCTTGATTCGAAGAGAATAGTCGGAATCATTGGGTATCCAGACTGCTATACTGCATGCCTCAAAATTACCATAACCAAGGCTTCGCCTTTATCTATTGTGTAATAGACCATGGCGGGGTCTGTGTGTAGAGATGTTATCTATGGAGCTACAGGTAAATTGTACATGTACATGTATACATGTATAGTACTGTACATGTACATGTACTGTGCACGCACAGGTACAGTGTACATGTACATGTACACGTACAGAGTACATGTACATGTACATGTAGCCTGAATGGTAGGCGGTGCAAATGCTTCCTGTCACAACAGGGTCAACCAATCATTACAATTACAGAAGCGGAACAAGAATGCACCACTGCACCAGTAACAGTCAGCAACCTTTTGAAGTACTGTAGAAGGTTACGCTTGTAATTTTTAGATTGAACCATGGAGAAATAAAACACACTGCCAATCGATTCTACAGACATGAGACAGACGAGTGTTAGTTTGTGTAACTTAGCGTTGCAACACAGTTGAAAATCATGCGGTTATACACCCGGCGGTAGTATGGTTTTGCAGTAATCTAATTTCAGTGCGCTGTTTTCTTAAGACAATCCCCAAAATAATCATGCAGTACTTCTAACTCCGGACGCTACATATGGCGTGGACATCTCACAGTAACGTAAATCATTTTAAAAAGGCCGTGCATGTTAGAAGAGTTTTAGATTGTCGTAAGTGATCATTCGGTTAGTTTCTTTAGGGGGGTGAAAATTGATACCCTTTACTTTCTATACAACGTCTTTTTTCACTTGCAAAGAAAATGGGGTTTGCATGCAGCTTTTACACATGCCAAAGATCTTTGCAAGAAATTCTTACAGACAAAAATGTCATGATAGGAATAAAAAAACACACCAAATGATTAGATTACAATTACTTCTCGAAACCTTAAGTTCCAGCATAGTGTTGCTATGCTTTGTGTACACTGGTTGTCCCAAATTCACGTTGCTTTGTTTCTGAACCTGTAGTCTTCATACCGTAACAACCTGCATCATTTTACATACAAATATGTCGAAGCACTGAAAAACAGCTGGCTTTCCATACACGGAAATGATCCCTGTACATTGATTTTGCGAAAAATAAATCGAAACAAGTAGCCGGGCCCAGTATGTTTCTCCGAATACCAGTCTTGCGGAACGTAAAGCATTCCTGTGTTTAGAGTTGTGTTGTCAGTGCTGTGCTGAATAAACTTTGCAAATTCAATTTCTGTACACCTTCATTGAACTTTGGTCTGGCCAAGATATAAAATGTACACCCCCCTTGCTTTGTGAATTAGAACTTCGGCGCAACAGTCACGGGATCAGTTTTTTCGGCAATGCAAATCTTACTTTACACCAACTGGCTCAACACTGTCGAGCAGATATGCAACTAACAAATTACATCCATTTTTGTAATATGTAAGACACAATGAAAAAGTGATCTTCAGACCGCCCACTCAACTTTTGATCGACGTTGTCAATATAAATCCGTGGTCTATTATTGAATGGTCGCGCGACAGTCCACTCTCAAAATCACGCCCCAATTTAACGTCTGACTTGAATGGCCCCTACCTTGGCATAACTTAGTACCTCACGAGCGTGTGGCATATACATGCATGTACAACCGTTCCCGCACGGACGAAGTTGCTGGCCTTGTGGCTGTTCTGCGAATTTTGCAGCCAGGTAAGTGCTACCCTGGCAGAGAGGCTGCGGGCTAGACATGGCTGCATTTGAGGACCAGTTCCCCGAAGCTCGGGCTGTTCCTACAAAACTACCTTTTCCAGAGTTTTTGTGCGGCATTTACGAGCGTTAGAGCTAGTTATGTTTTGGGCAGTATAACTGCCGAGTATTCAAACAGGCAACGGAAAGATTGAAGGCAAGCATGCAGTTTCAACGAAGTTGGCTTTTTAGCTTAGTCGTTGTGTGCTTCGTCTGCTGCGTCACGGCTCTATTGCTTAGCGTAGCACTGGTAATTCCCTATCAGTCATTGATCATGACAGGTGCTCTGAACTCAAAATTGAAAGACTACGAAAGACGAATAAGTTTGCTCGAGAACCGAATTGTGGAGCTGGGGTTGGTGCTCAAGAAGACACAGGCAAGACTGCATGAACGTGAGCAGATACCCCCACCTTTCTTCGATAGGCCTGAACTTGATCCAAACTCATTGTCCAGTGATATTCCACTTAATCCTGCAACAACTGAGGAAAGTGATGAATGGATCAAAGAAGCCTCAAATGCAAAGGGTGATGCTTCCATCTTGGGAGAAAGCGTCAGCGTACAACCCCATATCGTGGTGAGTATTTAGCGCAAAAACACCATCTGACGGGCATATGTCTGTTCCAGTAAAGAGAACTAAAAATTTTCTGCCTTCACACACAGGTCAACTCAAAGCAAGATTATCAACATGGTTTCAATGCGCGCTGGTTGCGCTCACCCAGCCGTCGACGTCAGCGAGGTAGGTAAGGCCTGTCATTCCCCCAGTACACTCTCACATCTGCAGTCTGTGCATTATACTCATCATGATTTATAGTGTGTCCATCAGAACTCTATTTTGTCATTGGCAGTTTAATACCAAAATTAGGCACAATCAAGTTGGAAATGTGGTCACACAGTGCGCAGTGTGTTTATCAACTAGTTTGACTTAATTTGACCTTCCTAGTTATGGTTCGTTTTCGAGTCACATTTTTGCTTTTGCTTCCCAATTGTGCTTCTATGTCATTCTTCCGATTCTGCTTTCCATTCCGTCGAATTCTGCGCCCGTAACTTACGTCCCGGGTACGCTATCGTCATTTATAGTTGAATTGTACATCTAAGTGTACCTAAAGATGCACAAATTCCAACCACTTGCTTGGTGATTTCGTTTCAATCCGACTGAATTTCACAGAAAGACCGGACAGAGAATCAAAGCAGTGCCCGCGGAGATGTAAAGGTAAGAAGATATCAATTGTCACTATTATCTATCTCTGAAATGCAGACAAAAATCCTGCTTTTAAATCTCTTATTTTTGTTAATTTGTTATTTTTGATCTCTCAATAGGTGCAAAAGGGGAAAAGGGGGACGTAGGTCCAGTGTCTTATGGCGGTGAAAAGGGAGAAAAAGGAGAGAGAGGTATGTGACAGACACCAGGTTTGGGCTTCGCTAAATTCAGTTGATGATTAATATTACCCCAAAATTTGCCGACAAACCTTGAAAAAGTCATTTGTAAAACCAAAAAAAGCTAAACACTATGAAAAAGAACAAAGGGATTTTGCTGGCTTTTCATGAGTGACTTGAAGACCGTGATACTGACATTTTGTCATACGCAATCTGTTCCATCATCCTCCCTTATTCGAACGCACCGATTGAAGGGAATTATTTTAAAACAGAGTACAGGCACTTTCAGTTACATTGAAGGACAAAATAAACCAAATGCAAAATCAAATGCATGTCGTTCCTAAGCTGAAATTCCATTAATGGCTTTTTATTGTTGAATGTTATCACCAGGGCCCGCTTCTTTCAAAGCACTCCTTCCAATATTATGAAAATATTGCTTTCTGATGTTTGTTCCTTTGCCTGCTGATAACCTTGAGTGGATACCGGTAATTATTAGGGACGATGTTTAGATTGCTAAACCTCAATAGAGCCTGAAAGTTGACCCCGATGGCATGCTTCTGGAACCCTCGGATAGAAAAAATAACTTGCAAATATTTTAGAATTCGTACTTTTTTCTCAGGCATTTACCTCTTAAAAATTAAACTTGGAAAAATGCCTGTGTAAAATATTTGCTAGCTTATTGATTTATAGAAACTGAAAAAATTACCTGACCTAAAAAGGATCTATCCTGCCAAAAATTGACTTTCAGGCTCTATTACCAAATATTTAATTTCACGTAATTCCTTTTTACTTGCCACGCCTCGAATGTGTAAGAAGTTGTAATCCTCCCGATCAACATTTAAACGTGGGCTTTAGTAAAAAAAAACCCTGTCTTTTTAATAATTGCTCACACCCTTCAGGACCACCCGGAGAATGTGAATGTCATTGGCCAACAACTGAACCGGAAACAACCTATACAACGACCCCATCTCTTACTCCGCAGGTACAGCAGGGAAAAGAACATGGGAAATAAGGGTAGTAGATTTGGTTTGAGATGTGTGCCAAATTTGTCTTGTTCCGTGTACTTGTCCTAAACAGCAGAAGCAATGCAATTTCGATGTTTTTCAAAGGAACTGAGATTGACCTGGTTGAAATGCTTAAATTGTTCATGCCCGAAACTAACACATTATGAGCCAAATATTATTCTTAAATTCATTGGCTCCTCAAACTTATGCAGTCTCTCAAGATAAGAGTGTGTGATTAAGGTTTCAACTGTAGACTCCGACGTAACCACCGAAACTCACACTGTTTACTGAATGTTTGTTTCCGCAATGTATGCTGCAACGGTAGGCCTAGCACAGACACCCTGTGGAAATACCAGCCAGATTTTTGTTCTGAAAACACTGTAAATGAAAAGGTAAAATTGTTAAAAATTACAACAAAACAAGCCTTGTGCCAAGAGCTCGCCACCCTGATATGATTGAAAATTTCATATTTGAAATTGGTTGAAAGTAAATTTCAGATCTTTGGCCAAAAGAATCCAACCGAATATCTTACAGTTATGGAGAACTTAAGCGAAACAATGAAAACACCCGGTTTGTTAGCATCTGCCACAGTGGCCATTTTAAAGCTTGTGTTACCCATGTAGGCCTATATCTAGCTATGAATATAAGCCACCAAACTGTGCACTCAACAACGTCCGGGGAATCCCGAACCAACGAACGCAAACCCCAAACCAAAAACCATGTTTCATATACAATTGGAATGCTGGTTGCTAGATCTGTTTTGTGCAGAGCCGTGTTATTTTGGACCATCTCACAGTCGGAGGGTGGATTCAACCCCCAAAAGTCGGCTGTCCCATGCCCAATTCAAAAAACTTGGTATATATGTAAAAACCGTCTGTAGCAGTACAAATGTGAAGTTTCAGTGTTTTGTTAAGGTACACTCAAGCCGGCTTGCGTGCATTGAACACAGCAGTTGAGAAGTATACATTTTTTAGCTGACCAGTCTCGGAAAAATGGGCGCTGCGCGTGAACGGCATTTTTTGATTTTCAAAAAAATCCTTTAAAAAAAATGATTGCATAGAGTTACTAAAAATCCTAAAGTTGTAGCTTGTGAATGAATTGCACTGCGGTGATATCGAAAAATATGTTAGGGTTAAGAAATTATGAAAGCTCAAAAGGTACTTTTAACAAAAGTGCATGACAAGATATTTTATCTGAAGCCCACTGCCTATATCTGGTTATATGTAATGTCATGTACTATATACATTGTTCGGGTCGCCGACAGTTTGCTCGGTCAATACTAACACGCCCTTCTCAGGGTACAACAGAATCCGATCCTTTGCATGCATGCATTAAAAAAACACTCGATCACAAGCATTAGGTTAGGGATGTTCACCAGATTCCTATCATTATGGTCCCACCTGATCCCAGCAGTTTTTAAAATTTATTCTCAATCAAGCATGATGTTGGTGAATTAGAAAAAAACAGGCGTATCTGTGATCCCGTTTGTACAACACTTTCCTGATTCTTTATCTGGACATTTCACTCGACAGAAATTTGACCAATTAACAGATAGATCCCCTTAAAACAGCTTTGAAGCAACGGTGCGAGTTCCAGCATGTAGTTATGCACAATGTTTGCGATCATTATTCGTAATCGTCAGGAAAAAGTTTTTCAATCGTTTTGTTTTTGAAATACTAGTTATGATGAGTTTGATGGCAGTGTGACTTATTTCCAGTTTTGTGCAGACGGCCAGCCATAGATTTACCAGCCTCTGGTTGGCAAACGAGACTGCGACTTAGAAAGACCTAACCCTTTTGAAATGTAACAGTTGCTGATTTCACACGAACCAAAAAGAGCCGGGTTATTTTAGCCTCTCTCACAGCCGGGGAGGGGGCGGATTCCGCCTCCCGAAGAACTCATCTATGCCTCTTTGGATTTCTTGAGTCATGGCATGCATGTAAATATACTCCTTATCATTACAAGGCTACATGCATGCCAGCCCGCGTGCATTGAGCACCCCAGTGGAAAAAGTATACATTTTGGAGTGACCTGTCTATGTATATCCCTTTTCACACAAGTGGTGTCAAATTCACCCTAAAGAGTTACTTTAAAACTCCTAACAGCTGAACTCCTGAAAAAAAACGCACCTTGGCGATATTGGGAAAAATGTTTGGGGGAGGGGATTCCGTCCCCGGCTCTCCTAGGGTCAAAAGTTATATTTTCATACAGTAGTTTTACTCATTGGTACTCTCTATAAGGAGCATACATTTGTCTTTGTTCGCTCGGTGTAGGTTAAGAAGAACCTGATTAAACCTGCCATCCGCGAGTTTCATCTTTGGCTAATTGTTAAGTGTGATTACACAGTTCAAAGGAAATATGCTTTATCCTTTCGGTGAATATTTTGCTATTTCTAAGAACTTACACATCAAAAATAACACGTATCCTTCGGTCACAAAACTGCGTGCATATGATCACATATCGTCAAGAATAATAATATCAAATCAGTGCTCTGAAATATGTGATTGCCGAGCTTTCGGTAACTGAGTACCATCTTCGGGGCAAGCAGAACTGAATCTGCTTGCCCTGAAGAAGGTACCAGTACTCAGTTATATTCTTGTCGATGTTCTGATCACGGTGCTACGCAGCCCTTCCATATTTCTCTGATCACACACCGTGAATGTTTAATTGCCGTCTCTAAACGAGAATGAAAAAAGTTGTATACATTTTGCAAATGTAACAATAATATTTAAGCTCACCCGAACCTATATTATATGCGAATTTCGTTCTTTGCAATTGCTGTCGTGATTTTTAACATTTTAGTCCACGTGGGCTGTTACCTTTAGCAATCGAATTCTAGATCAAGTAGTTAATGGTTGCACATCACTGTGTGTTGCGTATGGTGGCCCTGGAGGGACATAGTCAGTCGTCAATATTGATGACAATATTTGCGACCAAATTTACGACCCACTCTTCGGTCGCGAATATTGATTCCAATATTCACGACCAATTCACGACTCGCTCTCCGGTCGCGAATATTGCCGTCAGTATTCATGACTAAAATTAACGAACTGCTCTTAAGTCGTGGATATTGACACCAATTTTTGCGACCAAATTCACGACTCGTACCTCCGGTCGCAAATATTGCCGCGAATTTTTTCCTAGCAAGCTAAGTGGAAATGAAGTGTTCACGTGCACGCGCTATTACCTACATTTTCGGCTTGATCTCAAGTCGTCATTCGGCAGGGCACTTTTCGCACAACGCAGGGGCTCAACGTTAAAGAGCAATTGCTGTGTCTATAGCGAGCAACCTCTCCTCTACCTAGCTTGCTGGCAATATTTGCGACCGGAGATACAAGTCGTGAATTTGGTCGCTAATATTAGCGTCAATATTCGCGACTGAAGAGCAAGTCGTAAATTTGGTCGCAAATACTGACGTCAATATTGACGATTAGCGATGTCCCCTAGGGCCACTATAGTTGCTCCTACGCGCTTACACCATTTAGTACATTTTTTGTAATGTAATCACCTAAATTTTTATGAGTAGAATACACGTAAGAACTTAAATATGGGTTGGGATGTATCATTCATTTTTTGTTTTGGTATTGGTTGTATTGTCAAGTGTTGAACCGAAATACACCTAAATGATGCATTACTTATAAATTTATATTCAGATGGGTGCTTTATCCATGTCCTCCCTTGTGTAGGGACCCTGGGTACCTCACTGGTCTGATGCCCGACCAGCAGCATTACTTGCCGCTCATTTTGAGGGAGGTAGACTTGCCACCATCAATACTGGTGAAAGTAAGTGACAAAAGGGGTGCATGTGTGTCTTTAACTAAGGTCATAATCTGAAAGGAGGACGTGGATAGACCACCCAAAAATTGACTGTGATTTTTTTAAGTTGTGAGGATACAGATCTGGTAACAAACTCAGACATGTCTATTCCCCTTTCTCTCTTGCACGCCATAACCTTGTACAAGACACACAGCATCCCAGAAATTTAGCCTAATTTTTGCGATTTCAATGTTATTAACCCTATACAGTACACCACGATACTTTCAGCACATTTTGAAGGCGATGTACAATCTATAGCAGCCATTGCAAGTAAGTACACATGTGATTTACACATCCAATTAAGTACATGAATTGTTATTCATTGAAGTTAACAAAGTGCAAAAAATGCTAATTATTATTGATTATGAAATTATGATAAGACGATTTATTTTTGGTTGAACTGTTGAAATGTTGATGTTGAATGTTTCGTGAAACTGCTTACAAAACCAAATTGACAAGGAAAGGTAGATCTGATGAACAATCAAGTTGCACACAGTCACACCGCGCCCTACGCAAAATTGAACAATCAAGTTGCACACAGTCACACCGCGCCCTACGCAAAATTAGACTGTTTTATTCACGAATGGAACAGGTCTCTGTTCAGTGTTGCATCGATACTGGGAATCCCCAGCTGCTAAGCTTTTTGTGCCATGCACTGTGGCCTTGGCAATCCACTATTGTGTGTGTTTATGATGCTTTGTTGGGTACCAGAACAAGGAACACTCGTTTTTCCTCGTGGGTAGTTAAATGATACGCCCTTCAAGAATTTCATTAGATTTTTTAGAAATTACCTAAAAAAGAGGAATTTCCTGGGTATACTTATCCGTTGCAAAGTGGAGTAGATTACATAAGGGCATTTGGTCGAAATATCACCTGTAGGAAAGATATTCTGGGCCAAATGGGAGCGATTTGGAAACTGCGCTTCGCACTCTATTTTTAGTACATGAGATGAATAAAGGAAATCCCCTACAAGAATACAAATGTAAAGGTGTGTAAGTCGACTAATTTAAATCTAGCTCACGGTCTCTCCATCATGTACAGGTTTTCCAGTGTAGAAGCAATCATGAACATTCACAGATCAACATGTGGCTCATATTCATGTATTTGGTTTTGATAGAAGGAATATTGTCCAATCTCAGACAATAAATGATGCTACACAAGTTGTGGTTTTCTTAATGCACCTTGCATCCATAATAGTGGCAGCCATAAAAAAATGTCAAAGCATTTCCGTGTTTGGCTATCAGTAACGTGTCAACGGTGCGCATTGTCGTTCAGCAGTTGAGTACATAATAATTTTGTGACAAGGCTCCCCAGAAGGATTGAACAAGCTGATCACATGTACACAACAATACTATAAGATTTTGAATGTCTCAATTTTAGCCATTACAATTTGCGTTGTGCATTCGCTGCGGACAGTTATAACGTAAAAACTGAATGGTTGGCCCTGTTTGACGGTAGACAGGATATCTCCGAAATCATGGACTTATATCTGATGTCTCGTTCTCAGCGAAATGATGAAATACAGTTGGAAATACGATTTCCCTGTCAGTACTGCAGTGTTTTACAGACAACTTATGCCGTTATGTTCTTTTCATTTACTTGTAGGGCGGGATCCGATAAACAGGGGATATGTCGACTTAAGTGAAATCGATGGTATGTTTTCATTATTTTTCACCATTTATTGTTTAAAGCTTCAGGTTTGCAAAATGTGACATTTGCCAACTTTGTTTAGCATCTATTATTGTCTGACATTTGGACCAAAGGTGGCATAGTTTACAAACTATTTTTTGGGGGGGGGTCGCTGTTATAAGCATTTGATGAGTCAAAGCAGCAGGTGGTTAAATATAATAAGGGGAATGGCCAAGTTTTATGTATATGAGCTTAATTAAGATGCACACATTTTTGATGCCAAGTATGAATTTTGATTATTTGTGTTATTATTCATTTGATGTACCATATTTTGTTAAACAACCTTTTGAATGGTGATAACAAATTCTTCCAAAATTATAGTATGTAGTTGTTATTCATCTTAGCTAATTTCTGCCTTACAGTAATTGTCAATTGACAAAATTCCCAAACTCCAGGGTGTCTGTGGTTCGTTACGAACCTTCAGTTTGCTTATAACGAAAGAATCAGTGACCATGTACAGAAAGATTGTGTTGAGTGTTGGTATATATATGCATAGACCATATTCATGTAGAGGCCATTTTTGATCTTATTCCCCGAATCTGTTGTATACATTGCAAACTCTCGATTAGGACGGCACCAGACTGTTTTTGACTTTCCGTGCGTTCCATCCCTTTCAAGACTTTTCAAAATCTGGCAGTGGTACATATAGTTGTGTGCTCAATCGTGAATTTGAAATTATTCATCAGACTAGACAGGCGCAAATTTGTCATGAAATGTTAATTTATTGTTTTCATCTGTACTCTCAACATTCGAAAATGGAGAGGACCTCGCTTTAATTCTCAATATGGCTGGCCCCGTGAATAACGTCTGTAGCTTACACGTACGAGCCAGTCAGTATTCCGCAATACAAAGAAACTCTGTATCGTGCCTGGTTAGAGTACGGTGGGAAGTGCAGGGGGGGGGGTAATTTCTGACCTGGTATGACTTTTGACTAGATTTAATGTACATGTGTATCGGGGTGAAGGAGGAAGCGGTGTGCCGCTTTTGTAAAGAATTATTAGCCGGTTTTTGCTATTGGGTACATTTCACGCATTGTATTTTGTATGTTATTATAGCTTCCATCTTTCAGTTACAAATTTTCAAGCTAAGTTCATGGTCTACAAATTACTCTACTAACGGAGAATTTGAGGGTTGGCAGTTTTGGGCCTGAGGTTATTTATTGGCCTGCAACCTTTGAAAGGCGGTAAGATCTCCGTCTACGGCCGCCACATTTATTCTAATACTCTTTTATCGTCAAAAATGTTTGGTAAAATTTCCGTTGGACGGCCGTCACATTTGTTCTTATACTGTTTGTGGTAATTTCCCATTTCACATAACATCTTGCCTCAACTGTGGATGTAGAATGACGTTTTTCATTGGCCTATTGTCCTGTTCACTTCGGAGTTGATCGCTAAGTAACAGTAACTTGCTATAGGTGTCGCACAGAAACACGGAGGTTCAATTAGTGCATCATCACATTTTATAACCCTATCTCTACCACCTTGATATACTTTAACCCAACAACGGTTGGAGCGGAATTCCTCCTTCTACTTTTCCCTGATATCACTATTATGCTGGTTTTATGTTTTGTTAGCTTGCTTGCTTTGTGTGTTTTTTGCACCAAGTCTTCCTGGACTTGTGGAGTGACAATTTTCTGACATAGTTTTGTAAATTTTATCTCACCGTTGTCGCAAAATGCCATGTTTTTGCCCCAAACTCAAAGCTTTTCAATTACCGTGTTTGACAAGAAACGTACGAATGATATATATTATATTTTTTCGGCAACTTGAAATTTGTCGGCAGAATTGGTAATGAGATGTTAATTTCAGATCAGTGTTCATATAATTAACAAAATTGTTCAGTTTAGATGTTAAGATTTTAGATATTGCATACCCACAGTGCAATTTATTAACAAACTTCAATTTTAAATGGAACATTCATGCAGGTATTATAATTCGCCTCAGCTTCCGATATGTTCCGAGTTCAAAATTCCCCCCAAATGTACATGTGCTCACATTCGATTAGACAACGATGCAAATCGTATGACAACGAGTGCCTACTACAAATTAATGCACTGTTTTTGCTGTACGAGTTTTAATATAAAGATCTGTGAATTTGAATAAACAATATTTTTAATTACCTTAGAAATCTGTGAAATGCATGTCTCCACTGCTTATGACCTACATAGAGACACCCGCCGGTGACCTATTAGGGAGAACGGGCGGACTAAAGTAAAACATCGTGATGTTAAAGCAAACCTGTTTCAATCGGAGTAAGTTCCTCGACGTGTAGAGGATCGGAACTAAGGGAAAAACGCTGTGAATGGAACTAGTAATTAATACATATACATGTAACAAAACAGTTAAAAGTAAACGGAGTGTGGGATTCCCCTCAAGCAGGTAATACTGTTGTTCAAAGAAACGTATGTTTGAACGACCTTTGCTTTCCACGGTTTACAATCCAGAGCATGTACAATTGGACATTGATCCCTGATAACATCAGTGTTGTAGTCGACGCGATCACAAGACCGTATACCAGGCAAGGTATGGGACGGAGGGGTACCCCCCCCACACCTGTCCAATCCCTATATACACTCTAGACTATTGTTACCTAACACATCCCCCATAGACGTCTGTAAAGAATTCCTAAGATTCCGATCAAACAATGACCAACGCAAAGGCGGGGGGGGGTTATCTCCGTCCCATATCTTGCTTCAAACGTAAGACTGGGCACAAAACCAGACACAAGACCATGCACAAGACCAGTTATAGTTAACAGGGTGAACAATGACAAAGGAATGCTTTTGTTGCTGTTCATTTGAATAGTTTGTGGCTTGAATTCAGACTGGAGGTCTTGTGCTAGTCTTGTGAAGGTCTTAAGTGGTCTTGACTACAATACTGGGCAACATTGAATCAATGTATTGGTTATTGTGCCAAGCAGATAAAACCGCAGTCACAGTGCTGAGTGTTGTTTCTAAACACCATCTTCATCACCCAGTATCTTCGTTTTGTGTCACGGAACAAAACGATGCTTGTCTTAAAACGTGTAGAATCAATAATGGTCAAGACACGTGTCGATTTCTTGACCTTCTCAAAGCTGGGAATGGGTTGCGAGAATCAGATCTCGGCTGTCATTATGACTAGTCTCTTGAAACTTGTTGATAAATTTATGTAGGCCTGTGTGAAGTTTCGATTCAGCCCAACAGAGGGATTTGTGGTTACGATCAAAAATACCGTAGTTCACACTGTCGTATGTCTATCCGTACTTTTAGTACGGATAGTCGTAAGCATTTTTAGCCTACTTGTCTTGCCACAATTGACATTTCTTGAGAACGGTAATTCTGGGGTTCATAAGACTAGTGTCGAAATGACTGTAAAATACCCGTGGGAAAATACCCGAGAGGTCGGCACGATTTAAAGGACCAGTGCAGGGATTTATTTCCTAGAAACTCTTTGCGTGTATTATTAAGCTTTTCTTCAGTGTACGAAAACTGTGTGAAATCTTTGTTGAACTGTAAAAAGTGTACTTTTTAAGCATTCAAAGCATTTTAAGCATTGACCGAGCTTTTTCAGACAAGTGAAAGCGCTTTTAGCGTGATGTAAAGCCAGGAAGACTCTGTTTAGTTCAAATTTAAAACCCCAAATTTGCTCTTTAGAACAATTGTGCGAAAAAGTTGCTTGCTGGCTTATTGTCGTATACGTATAAAGCAATAAACTGCCAAAAGAAATCCAAGTCGGAGAAGGAGAAAGCAGTGCAACATTCTGGGGTTCAGTGCCTGGGATTACATCACAGTTCTGCTAATGAATATGTAATTTCATTTAAGTAGTAGAATCCCCAATTCTTATAGGAATAGAAAAACAAAAAATTAAGAATAAGGTGAATTGAAATATGTTATAGGTTTTGCGGGCCAAACTCATTATCTTCGCACACGAATTAGCGACAGTTTCTTTCAAATTAGCACGAAATAGATTGACGATCTAGATTACCATTCAAAGTGCAAAACTTCAGGTTCATTATAAGAGCATGCAATTGCACAGTGTTGTTATTAAAAAAATGAAGATTCGGCATTCGATGTGAAAAAACACGCAAAAAGCATTCAAATTCGCGCAGGCACTCATGTGGTATGTGTTTTGGCGTTCAATTTCGTGAATCAGCAAGCATTTGTGAGATTCGTGCATTGTTATTCATTAAAACATTAAATCTTCTAATTCTTTTTTTTCTGTGACTAATTTGTGCAAAACATTTCATGAAAGGAAACATTTGGTTCACGTGTAGAGATATCTATAAAAAATAAGGAACGATGTTCATTTGCTAATTTGTTAATTCGTGTTTTGTTTCTGTTTGAATTGTTATGAAAGAATGAATAGCAGCGAAGTAAAATTATTTATATCCCTCAAGTGGGCAAAGTGGGAAAATGTCTAAAAAGGATGAGAAATATGGAATGAAGCATGAAAGCAAAAACAGTGCTTTAAAAATGTGACCGAAAAAGGAAATAAGCCATTGTTTAAGCGAATCCGAAAAATCTTAGTATACATGCACATTGTGGAGAGAGTGAGTTTCTTGTGTATAAAATAAAGAAGTTACAAATCAGTAAACTGCATCTATAGAATTTCCGTGATGAAGGTCCAGGGAGAGTGTCATTTTTACATTTTGATTAAACGGGCAATCAGTATTGGAACAAATGCTCTGTATCCTGATGGCTAATTAATTGTGAGATAATAAAAAAAACATCCAAGTCAATACGTGGGACACGTTTTTAGCACGTTTTCACGTTTTCTATTTGTAATCTCCCTTTCTGTTCTATACGCATCTTAAGTTACCGCATATTCCTGTTACCTTGAAGTTTTCCAATCGGAAGGCTCAAAATGCAAACATGATCGCCCATAGACGAAAACGGAAATAAATTTCGGAGGAATTTTTATTCAGTCACCCATGGCAAAATCGAATGACGATTATGCACTGTTCAATTGAATGAAAGTAGTTCTAAACTGAATTTGTTACAGTACACTATTCGACGCCTGTAAACGAATTTGAAGGTCGCTACCGTATGAACATGAAACATGGGAACATGCAGCTGAAAAAAATCTTTGCAATACGAATGAACAATAATGAATTGACTGTGAAGATGACGAATTCGCCCGGGAAAACTTATAGTAAAACATTTCTGTTACATGACCCCTTTAAGCTCTTTTTAAAGCTTTATACGACCACAAGCTTGAATTCGTGTATTTTAACAGAAAATACCATGCAGGTACGCACCACTTATAAATTTGATAAAACATTTGGGTCATAGATAATCATGTTTTGTTGAGCCAGCACTTTTCACGTAATAATCGTAAGCTTTTAATATTAGTTGATATCTAAGAGCGTCGTGTTGCACTGGACCTTTCCTCCTCTTTGGCTCACATCCAGCTTTTTTAAAAGCCGCTGATTATTAGGCAACGTAGTATCTGTGTTGGTATTTGTTGCCACATTGGAGTTATGTTTCACTAAAAGGAAGAGACTTGCTGTGTTTGCTTACAGGTGGTTGGGTTCCATACTGGAGATATGCTCAGTGGATGGATGATGGAATCAGGAACAAGTTTATATTGCATCGCCGTGGCAATGTCACTGTGGTAGAGGGAGGAATCTACTATGTTTACAGTCAGGTAAGTCCTTGTATGATACCAAACCTAGAAACTGCTGGTATAACCTGTATGGTGAAAAGGCTACATGGCAATGAAAATTTTCCCAAGATGAGACGATAAAACGACGTTTGGATTTTAAGCAACAAGAGCTTTGCATGCAGAGCCGGAGTAATTGCCGTTGGCTTTGAAGTTGCGAAGACTTCGTCAGAAATATCTAGACCATTATTGCTGTGTAATAGCTGCTGTTCTTGCTTTTTTTGCTTTACACATCTTCAACATACTTGTTCTGAATCAATATCACTGACAAAAAGCTATGTTGGTTTCACTGGCGTTTTTATGTTTAGATGCTGTATTACGACCCGAGTGTGTTCATGGGCCATAGTTTGTACATAGGAGGCCAGAAACGCTTCAGTTGCACCGAATGCACAATAGATCGTGATCGTAAGTTTAACACTTGCTACATAGGTGGCTTAGTGCAAATCAATCCAGGAGAGGTGGTTGGAGTTAAAGTGTCATATGCAAATAGAGTCATTAACTTGAACCCCGATAGTACGCATTTTGGGATGATAAGACTTTCTTAAAGTAAACAATTAGTTAATGCTGTGATACTGAATACATGGTTCGAGGGAATTCATGAAAGGCGAATACATTAAAAGATTTGTTTGGCATTACACAACCCGTTATAGCGATAAAAGTAGTCCCATATGAAATAACTAACGTGGTAGGCTGTAGAATCTAGGTTTGACGATACACTTATGCATGCACACCAATTTCTAAACTACATTTCTTCATTAATTAACCAATAGAGGTTTTGCGTGGTAGCCATCTTGCAGGGCAGTTCATTTGTTTTGTGCATACCCTGTGGAACAAAAGCTCTGGCATGTAAGATGTCAACCATACAAACCTTCAATATCATAAAGTGACATTTTTGTCCCGAAATATTGAAGGACATACTTTGTACATTTATTTATGTACTCGGTATATTTTGCGTATCTCTGAAAGTCTTTAGGTTTTTCACAAGTATTGCTAATCGATATTTGTGGATTTTACCGTTGAAGATTGGGGGAATCAGAACATGACCATACTCAGAGTGAGGTCCGTGGTTGAAATAATTATTGATTAATGGATACTTTTTGCAAGAGACGTAGCTTGTCATTTACAGCAATCGTTGGGCTAATCACACATTTCTACTCATGCTAGTTAATGCCATTTTAGATGATCAGTGATTGCGTTGTATATCATGTAAACGCAATACAACCTTTGCAAACAACATTGGAACTCGATTTAATTAGATAAGTCTACTGAAAATGTTTAGGTTATTGAAAAATGGAGATGACTATATTAACAGTTCAAAAGAACCCGTGACGTGAACTCTTTCATTCGTCCGTAATTCCTCGGTGTCTATAAGATAGTCACGGTATTAAATCTGGAGAGTGTACACTGAATTCACTTCTCAATGAGCTATACTTGCTCTGCGATTTAATTGGCTGTTATACGGCCGATCTTGTTTAAACCTTCCAAAGTGAAAAGTGTTTCTCGCAGGTTGCAGAAAATAAAGTTTTATAAAGAGCAAGGGTCAGGATGCAAATATTCAAAATAACTGATTCAAAACACAACTCATGCAGTGAGCAACTTTATAGCTCAAGAGTGCAGCATTGAAATAAAATTTAATAGAATGAGACTTGGGTAAAATTTTCCTAATTTAAGAGTAAAAAGCGAAAGGTTGTCACATGGGTAAACGTTTTACCGAAATTTGTCGTGCAAATCTGTTGCACAAAAATGGGTGAAATGTTACACTGAAAATAGTGAGTTCTTTTTATGATTTTGCTGTTGTGAAAAAAAACCAGAAGTGCATGGACGAGTATGTTCAAAGGGTTGTAATTTTATATCCAATAGTGGGTAATTAGTTTTTAAGAGTGTACCAAGCATAAGTGCTCGTTACGTCATTTTTACGTTCACTTATATATACAGTTGTACTGTGTGTTGTGTATAATTGTAGAGGTTTTAATATTTTAACCCTACTTTTAAACTTGGTTATCCCTTCGATTAACCGAATTTGCTCTTTCAAATGAGGGAATCGCTTTTTATTTCTGTGGTTCTCTTTTCTCTTTGAAGTAGGGGAGACCTTTCCCAAAAAATGAAAATCTAAAGAAAATGAAGTTACACAGGCATACACATGACTAAATGAACCTATGCAAGTGTGTATTGTCTCTTTTTTTATTGTGCGTTTACCTTAGGTTGATATCCTCCAAACGCAGTAATAAAGCCATCTTCGGTAATTTGATGTGGCTCTGTTTTCATCTTACAAACGTTTTAGTTATCTGCCTTGAGCAGAAGCACCTCCTCACCGGTTGAAAAGAGTCTTGATGGTCGGGAGTGTTCATTTTGTTGGTAGCGATGCGACCGTGCCGCGTGCATTTCTTAGTCGTTCGTTAGCCAGCGAAGTTTAGTTTTGACCAAAGGCGCGTCCGTTGGTAAGAAAATAGCGCCTTCTGTTGGTTGAGGTTGAGCCCAACAGACGAATCCGAGGAGACACCAGTCCTGCAGGGCCATCACGTTCACACACTTGTTTGAACTTGAGCACGTGCACGAATTTCATGAGCCAGAACACCCTATCCGCCCCGAGCGGGACCAAAAAAAGGGCGCAATTTTCTTAGGAACGGAAGCTCCTTTAGTACAGTGGAGACTGCACTTCGCTGGTTCACAAATGACTAGGAAATGCGCGCATTACGGTTGCGTGACTACTGACAAAATGAACATCCCCAACTTGGCTCTTTTCAACCGTTGAGGGATTTTTTGCTTAAGGCGAATTGGTCTGAGGGAAATGTAAGGGTGCAACTAAGAAAATGAATTCTCAGAGACACTACCAGTGATAAATCTCCATACTTAAAATTCTTTTTAAAACACAACTCTCACAGGCGTTCAGGCAGCAGAGAAAAATGGTGATCAACATGCCGTCTTGTGTTCCTTTTCAGTTTTAGTGGGTCGGCCAAAGACCTTTTGAGAAATTGTCTCCCATAGGAGACCATCCCTAAAACGAAGGGTCTATTTCTCTAACTGGCTAAATAGTGCCACTTTCGGACCTGATTGCATCTAAAGTGCTCAGAATTGGAAGTCTAGGCCACAGGTTCAGTGCCATATTTCTTCCATTCTCCATTACCTTTCTCTGAGAACTCTTGAGTATATAATTCCTCTTTATTCATGAGCTCGGTGTGCCCGTAATGCGTGCGCACCACTTGCGTGCGCACAGGATGGCCCCGCAGTAATGACCTGTTTCTGGTCGGCGGATAAGTGTTTAGTGACAGTGCCCAGTTTGAAGTAGATTTCGATTAACATTAGTTTAGCGCACGTCAGTTGAAGATGGTGGTGTAAGACGACTATAGGCCTACTGTATTACTCAGTTATTAGTCTTGGTCTCCGTTTGATAAATCTTTTTCGGTCTGACTTCCATAAATTGTTGTTTAGGGAGTAGCTCTGACCAAAGCAGAAAATTTCGCCTAGCAGGGTGGTGTTGGGTGGCACTATAAAGTTAGATTCAGTACAGCGCCGTCATTGGCTCTGGTGTTGATTTTTTGGCAGTGCGAACTTCGATTTCTGCCAAACAAAATAATATCTGAGTCGACAAATGAACAACGTGCATTATTTAACCCCTCAATACAAACAATGTACTCTCTGAAACAGCCGACAATCGCAAACGTCAACAATGCCCAAATGTCAGTGGACATGCTTAGAAAAATTCAGCTGGGTTTTGGTCACACGACACTGAGGTTGCGTCTTGAAATTACATGCGACTCTGTATGGATAGCGGCTGCAGCCAAGTCATTTTCCTACAAGTGGTTCTTGAGCCAACTTTCTACGCACACTATAACAGGAAACTAAGGCCCGTTTCAAACGTCGTGCTTATATGAAAAATATAAGCATATGTGCTCAATTAGATAGCACGGTAGTGGTTCAAGTTCAAACGTCGAACTTAATTCAAAAATCCCTCCGTCCGGCTGAGTTGGTGCGCTCACGTTGAACAACTTTGCCTTCAACGGTGAGCACTACATTCAGACCAGTGGTGTGGCTATGGGCACACGGATGGGACCAAGTTATGCCTGTCTGTTTGTTGGCCACATCGAGGAGCAGATGCTGACCCAGTATCGGGGCGTGACGCCATTAATGTACCGGCGATACATCGATGAATCAGTTGGTGCTGTCACCGGTACGTGTGATGACGTTGAGAATTTCTTAGCGTTTGTGGATGCTTTTCACCCAGCACTGCGCTACACATCTGATGTGTCACAACACTCTGTTACCTTCCTCGACGTGCGCGTCCAAATCTGTGCGCAGAAACTTGGCACAACCGTGCATTACAAATCCACAGATCCCACGACTACCTGCAGTACCAATCGTCTCACCCACTCAAGTGTAAGAACTCCATCCCTTACTCTCAGTTTTTTCGACTGCGTAGGATTTGTTGTAGCAATGCAGAGTTCTCTGCACGTGGGAAGGAAATCTTTCATCAGCGCGGTTACCCTGCGGCTATCATAGACGCTGCCTTCAACACCGTATCTTCAATCCCGCGCGAAACGGCTCTGAAACCTACCGGGGCCAAGTAACGTGATCGTGTCCCCCTCGCACTCACATACCACCCTCGAAACATTCCGGTACGTGACATTCTTCTCAAACATTTCCGTGCAATGGGAAATGATGCGGCCGCAGCGTCCATTTTCGCAGAACTCCCGATTTGCGCGTTTAGGCGCGATCGTTCTGTCGGGGAGATGGTTGTACGTGCCCGGATGGATTCCGTCTCGCCGTCAAAAGCAAGCAGCAATTCCCCGTGTCAGCGCCCCAGATGTTACACCTGCCCCTACATAGTTAACAGCCCGTCGGTCGTCGGCCCCCGCGGTAGCTACAGCATACGCGGGGATCATACATGCATTACCCGTAATGTGGTTTATTGCAAATTACATGTCGTCGCTGTGGTAAACTGTACATCGGAGAGACCAAGCGCTGCCTTAGTGACCGCTTTGCAGAACACTTGCGCAGTGTGCGCCAACAAACACCTGGTCTCAACTGTTGCGCAGCTCTTCTGCCCGCCGCCACATACCCTTGGTGACGCATCCTGTGGAAAGCTGACTGATGTACAGCGTAAGGAACTGAAGCAGCGCGTCATTTTCGAACTTGGAACGCTGCATCCAGGGAGAATGAACGGGGATTTTTCTGCGTTCATTCGGAACTGAATCTGGTTGCCCTGAAGAAGGTACTCAGTTACCGAAAGCTCGGCAATCACATATTTCAGAGCATTGATTTGATATTATATATTCTTGTTGAATAAATCCAACATGGCGCACCAGCACAACACGAGATGTGATTTTGCGATCTTTCATCTTGAGTCGCAAAGAAAACGAATTTAGCTTCGGCGAGCACTACTGGTATGGGCCTCCTTTATTTCTCGAAAAAAAAATTGAGGCCTTTTTATTCTCACAGCCCTATGTTATGGTTCACGGCGGTCTTGCAGTGACGTGTCATGACGTCTCAATAAATTACCATCCAGCTGAACAGTTCCATATCATTAGGGAGTCTTCTTCCGAAATTTGGACGTGATTTTCAGTTTCAAAGGTCACCTTTCAGTATTTTTATCTGATATCAAGCAGGAATTTGAAAGAGAAATGGTTTAACCATGGAGCTATTTTACACTAGGAGTAAGCACATAGAGAGATCAAAAGGTTCAATGATGGCCACGTGCTGCAAGGACAAAACAAATTACGCGCCACTTGCGGGCTGTAAGGAATGCCGAAGAATTGTGGGTACCGCGCATGCGTGTCCGAAACACGTCCGCATGTTCAACATGGCCGCCTTGAGACGGAAACCACCGTCATCGGAGACTTAAATTTCGATAATTTTAGTGATTGTTCTGATATTCCGATGACAATGAAAGTCTTGTTACGTCTTTACATCCCCAAAACGTCTCTCTTAGAAGTAAACAGAATTACTAACTAAAACAAATTCTCCAACAATACGCACAAGAAAACTGAAAGATTGTAGCTGGTCCAGAGGAAAAAAACCCAAAAAACAAAAACACACAAATACATGGGGAAATTGGTTGTTCATTCTGTCATTGTCCACAACTGTCTCGGCATGAAACCTCGCCCCCTTGTCAAATGCATTTCTGCTGCAGGTTTCCAGTTTCTTTCAATCGTAGGAGCCTCTAGGGTTGCGACTTATGAATATATAAATATCGCAGTTTATATTTTGGGTATTTGTTCTCTGCCGGAATCGCAAAATGTCATAACTGACTTTAAAAACGTCCTTTTTGCCAAATAACCACCGCTGATTCAGAATTTTCCAGCGCATCTGCGGGGATCACTCGCTGACTCTTGAGGACTACTGAAGAGAACTACGCATCTTCTTTGTGCGTTATTTCCACCATTTATTTACTCCATGATGCCTTATCGAAACACGGGGAGTATGTGGGTTACCAGCTTCCTGGCGGTGGCGACCATTTTGTAGGCCTACAAAGAATGTCTAAGGGTCTTCAACACTGGGGCCGGTAACTGCGCCTTGCCTGTGGAGCTGACCAGAGCAGTTAATCGGGATACGGTATTTAAGGGCTTCGCTCTACTCCTTGTGTTTAATAGCTCCATGGTTTAACTGAAACCCCAATCTCCTCCGAGCTCCATCTATTACAAATCTTCCCTGTGCGTTTCGAGAAATTTCCATTGTAGTCGCCATCTTTTTTGATGTGTTTATTTGTCCATGATTAATTCTCAACACTACTACACGTTGTGAACGTGCGCATTCATAATGAACGAAGTTCAGGACCTACTTCGAATAGATATTGTATTCGACTCGGCATAAGCACGACATTTGAAACCACATCGTGCTTCTGCTGTAGTTAATGACATAAGCACGGCAGACCCTGTCGAGCCAAAACTTCAGTCGTGCTGGAATCAATTTTGCCGAGCCAAATTGGTTTCGTGCTTATGCTCTGCCGAATACATGTGCAAAAAATTCAAGTTGAATTGTATTTGACGCGACATAAGCACAACATTTGAAACGGGTCTAATTAAAATAAAGGACCTCGACAAGTAATGCCTTATCTAACTCACTACATGCACCAAATGAGGCTTTTACAAGAAAATGCCAATATTTCATATGCAAGGACTAATTCGATAACGCAAAGTAGGCGTTTCTATCCTTAATGAAACAAACGCTAAGCCCTCAGATCCGTGTATAATAACATTCATCTTAAAATATCTTTTTCCAAGAGAGCACGCTGAGAAAAAAAAATAAGAAAAG